TTACACGGTTGCCTTGGGCCCACATCGCAGGCCCTGGTAGGGCTCCACAGGCAGGTGACAGGACCACCTCTGTAACTGGTGACTTAGGTCTGGGAGACCCATGGGAGCGGGGATAGGGGAAATACCATGAGCAAGGATAGGGGGAGTACCACCCCCCATCTCCTGGGAAGTCCTCAGTGCCCAGGGTGCCTGCCCCTCCCCCATTGCAGCCTCATCTAGAACACAGGAGGGCACTGTTCAGAGACCATAGGACTACAGAGTGGCTTTTGTGGCTGGTGTCTAGGATGCCATTGGCAGCCTGGGGTGGGGAGGGGACACAAGGCCCAGGCCCCTGGTTGATATTTTGATATGGGGCTAGGGCAAGGCCTTCAGAAAAAAATGTACACACTGAGGCTGGAGAAGGACCTCTGACAGCATTTTATCCAAACCCCTGGAACATGATGTGAACAAGTTTCTGGCTCTCATTCTCTCTCTCTCTCTCTCTCTCTCTCTCTCTCTCTCTCTCTCTCTCTCTGTGTGTGTGTGTGTGTGTGTGTGTGTGTGTGTGTGTTGTTGTTGTTGTTGTTGTTGTTCTTAAGTTTACACTGGAGTGGTTTCTTCCTAGGCTAGACTGGATCTAGATGGTAATCTCTGGTCTTTGGGTATGGCCTAGAGCAGTTAACTCCTGCCCCCAATGCTCCAAAGACTTGAATCTAGGGTTATGAGGGGGCCATTCTTATTCTTGCCTGCAGGTGGCGCTCAGGGAGCCAAGTCATCAGATCCCCTTTCTCCTCCCCTGATTCCTGCTCTCACCCTACCTGCTAAGGCATCTATGAATTCCATCAGTGGTTCCTCCCCATTGGCACCCTAATACCACTCTCCCCCCCACCCCAAGGCTTCTCTGAGGGCCCTAGAATATTCTGTGACATGTAGAGGCGGGCCAGCCTTCTCTGCAGAACAATGGTGGGTAGATACTAGGAAGAGATTCCTGGAAGTAAAGAATTTGGGCCTTGGAAAAGGTATTGGGAGAAGGGGGCCTATGGAGGATTTGGTTCAAATTGGACTTTGTCTTTGGGAACCAAAGTGGGTAGAAGGGTATATAATATATACTTCCCAGTGTTACTCAGACCTGAATATGGAAACTCTACCAGAAAAGTGGCCTGTGGTTTGAGGGAGAGGGGAAAGACAGTCACCCCCTTTCCTGGAGAGGGACAATAATGGCCTGATTTTAAGTAGGGAACATTTAACCCAATGATCCCTCAACACTTGGTATGGCAAGCATGGACCTTCTCTAGCCTGTTTTGAAGCTTGTGGCCTGCTTATGACAGGCCAGACTGCCTTTGCAGTTCCTGACGGATGGTTGAACCATCTCTCCGGGGCGAGACTGGCAGGAACCTGCAAAGGATGCCAGGCATTCACTGGGGAAGTACAGAGCACGGCCTTGGGAGGCGTAAAACTTGGGAAGCCTGGTCCAGGCCTGGGGAATCCAGGCACCTTCTCAAGGAGCAGTCTATGGAGGGGAGGGACACAGGCTAGGTAGAACGGAGGATCTCAGTGCATGCTACAGTGGCTGCAGGGCCACTTCCTGTGGGAGAGCACATGACTCAGCTATCCTCCTACCCTAGCTCCTGGCCACTGAGATTTTCTGAAACTTGCTGCCTAGGTGAGTCCTCCTTTCCCAGCCTAACTGGCTCCGCTGCATATGGGCAACTGAGAGGGTGTGCCTCTGAGGCTGAGCTGTCCAGCACATTATAGAAACACACCTTGCCTGTGCTTGTGTAAATACACATATGTGGCATGTGTGAATGCAGCCACACAAGGGACACATGACTGCTCCACCTCCCCATCTGAATGATGGCAACCAGCTGTCCCCAATTGCCCACAGTCATTGTCTGTGACCTTCTGTCCTTATGGATGAGGATTTCCTCCCTCTCTCCTTGTCATGTGTCCCCTGAAATCACAGAGGCCTGAACCACAACTCTGAGAAATCCACTTCGGTTCTCTCTTCCAAGATGCCAACCTTAGGTTCCTGAGCTTGACCTAGCCTGTGCCTGCAGGGAGCCAAGCCCTGTTGTGTCCTTCTCAGAGTTCTCTATTAGAGGGCTTGTTTGGGCTGAGAAAGATAAGAGAAGACTTGTGGGAGGAGCCACGCAGGTGGCTACAGACCTCTGCTGAAGGGCCACTGGGGACAGGCTTGGTGGGGCCCAGTGTGTTGACACTCAGATTTCTTCCTGGGCCTATCTTGTGACAGAGGACAGCAGGGCCCTACTATGTCTCTCTCTTATGTGGCTGTGATGTCCCTGGGCCAGCTGTGCCTTTTCCAAAGCTGGGGGTGGGGCAAGCTCAAGTCTAAGGTGTTTTAGGGCAGTGGTTCTCAGCCTGTGGGTCACGACCTCCTTGTGGACCTGCATATCAGATATGCAGTTGATAACAGCCGCAAAATTACAGTTATAAAGGAGTCACTAAATGTTCTAGACCAAGCGGTTCTCAACCTTCCTAGTGCTGCAACCCTTTAATACATTTCTTCATGTTGTGGTGATGCCCAACCGTAAAATTATTTCGTGACTACTTCATAACTGTAATTTTGCTGCTTTAAAGACTGACAGACCATCTGGAAGAGACCCAAGCCTTACCATCTTCCTCCCTTGGCAGCCCCGTGCCCCCCACAGGAGTTTTAAGGACATGATTGGGGAATCCGTAGGTGATATTTGTTGAAGGCCTTCGGATTACCAGGAATATGGTTGCCTGACAAGACATTGGCCTCACCTGCCCATTCTCCTGTCTGTCACTGGGACCTCCTACTTTCTTAATAACCAGTCCAGAAATGTTCCCTCTTGGCCCCTTACCTTAGTTGTCTCTGGATCTAGGCCTGTCTTCTTGCTCCTCCCTTGGCCTCTTTTGGTTCTGCAAGTGAGCCCCTGGCTGTCTGGTGGCTCGTTTAAGGGACAGCTCTGTGACAACACTGCCAGTGACCTCCATGGCCAACTTCTGCCCCTGGAATTGGCATTGGGAACCTATGTCCCTGTCCAGTACTCAAGGGATGGTTACCCATCCTACAGGAGTTGACCAGTGACAAGAGTCTGACCTGTGAAGACACTGGATGGGCCTGTGCTCAGCTAGTACCCTGGATTCCTGGGAGGGTGGCAAGTGGACCTTAGTGGTCACCAGGGAAGTGGATCTAAAACAAGAGCCCTTGGGGTCTCTGCTGCAGAGTGCAGGCACAGGGCAGAGTACACCATGTACTGTCCTTCTAAGAACTGAGAGGAGTTGCCTGTGTTTTTCACCAAGTTAACCCTTGGATGTCAGTGCCACAGTCCACCTGGCTGTAGGGATACTACCAATAATAACCCCACACTGTCTGTCTAGGTCAGGACTGCATAATCTACCTGAGGCCACGAGCTTCTTCCAGGAGGGATGCTAGAGGCCTGGGGTGCTTATATTTGACTTCAGATCTGGAGGTGGGGCTCCAGGGACAATGTTCTCCTGTGATGCCAGGGCCCAGGAGTCAGTGGTCCTTCCAGGCTAAAAGGTAGTGGATTTGTGTGTGATCACAGTCATGAGTTGTGGCTCCCAAGATGGCCTAGGCTTCTCAGGTGTCCTAAGTCGGGCTGGGCAGAGTGAGGTCAGCTAACCTGGAGCTGGGTAGTGACAGCATGGGAGGCTGTGCAAGGCTTGGCTGAGTGAGTCCTCTAGACCTCACTAATCTTACCCTGGGCCTGGCACTGACCTCTACTTTACATGGGGTAGAGTATGCCCCCCGGGGGAGGGGCTTTGATGAGGGACTAGAATCAGGAACAACAGAATGAGAGGCTGACTGTGAGACACTGGCCATATCTTCTCTGTCCCATAATGGGGAGGATAGTCAGGGAGGCAGTGTGAGGCCATATCAAGAGTCATCCCTAAGGGTGTTTAGCTTGGAGCTGGCAGAGGTAGAGATAGAAGACGGGGAAGTGCTTTTCAGGGTGCCTGGGGGTAGGTGCCAGGGTTAGACGTTAGAAGTGCAGGTTTGGACATTTTAAGACCACGAAGGGGCTGGAGTATGTGCTTCACCCTCCTGGGAGCAGCTGGGGTCCTGCTCATTCTATAGATGCACAAACAGAGGCTCTGTGAGGACTGTCCTGCTTCAGGCATCCTGGCTTCCATCAGCTCAGAACCTCCACCCAGGCTGGGGCTGGGCCTGGCGGCAGTCCAGGAAGGACACTAGGATGAGATGCAGAGCTGAGATTGACCTTGAATCACTGGTCAGTTGGGCCTAGCCTGCATGGAGAGTTTCTGGGGCGGCGGCAGGCTGCTACATATGCAGGGTTGGCAGATCCAATGGGTCTGCACCCAGAGGCTGAGAGGACAAGGAAGGTGGGGCTTGGCTATGAGCCCCCTTCATCCTTTACTGGCTCAGCTATGAAGGGACAAAGGGGAAGCTGGTATCTTCAACAAGGCTGGGTGGCATATAGCAAGCATGCTGAGCCCACACTAGCTGTTAAGTCCTTGCCTGCAGGAGTGTACGAGGAACCACCCTTTGGTGCCACTCCTGTGGATGGAATCATTCCCCAGGGGCACCTTCATGTTCAGGGTTTGGGTGGGTTTGTAGTCTAGCATCCCTGTGACCTTTAGGAAGCCACATATCATCTATGCCTCAGCTTCCTCATCATGGAATGTGGGGTGACTCTGTAGCCACCTAGAGCAGGGAGTAAAGTCAGGGCCCAAGAGGCAGGCAGTAGAATGGGGAAGGGAATCCCCAGCTGGAGTGCATGGTTCAGGGACTGCCATGGATAGGAAGAAGGCAGTGGATGCTGTCGAAGTAGCTCCATATCTGTAATCTTTCATCTCCAGGGCTGCATCGTACCTCCTGTTACGACAGACCATACCCGCTCCAGGTCTATTGTTGGGAGCTCTGGAGAGGACGCCAAGGCCATACATTGCCAAAGCCTCATGCCTCACTAGACATACTGAGTTCCTGCCTCTTCATGTCCTGAGCCCATGCCTTCAGAGGCTTACACTGTCCCTTCTGCTTTTTCTTCCAGCTACCCTTGGAGGCCACAGGCAGACAGCAGAAGCTTGGACTTTAGGAGTCAACGCTGCTCTCACTGCCTCCTGAAACCTTGTCCTGTCCCCATCTTGCCTTCACCCAGACCCTGCCTCCGGCCCACTGCCCTGGACGGCCCTGCCTGCTGCCGGTCCCTGGCATGTCAAGGCCTGGCCTGCACTTGCCTGTCCAGCCCGCGGAACTCCAGCGGCCCCGCGAGCTAGGATGAGGGGCCAGGCTGCTGCCCCGGGCCCCATCTGGATCCTTGCTCCACTCCTGTTGCTACTACTGCTACTGGGGCGCCGGGCGCGCGCTGCCTCTGGGGCAGACCTAGGGCCTGGGGCAGAGCAGTGCACCACGTTGGTGCAGGGCAAGTTCTTCGGCTACTTCTCAGCAGCTGCTGTATTCCCAGCCAACGCCTCACGCTGCTCTTGGACCCTTCGCAATCCGGACCCTCGTCGTTACACGCTCTACATGAAGGTGGCCAAGGCACCTGCACCCTGCAGCGGCCCAGGCCGTGTCCGTACCTACCAGTTCGACTCCTTCTTGGAGTCTACCCGTACCTACCTGGGTGTGGAGAGCTTTGACGAAGTTCTGCGGCTCTGCGATCCCTCCGCACCCCTTGCCTTTCTGCAGGCCAGCAAGCAGTTTCTACAGATGCAGCGCCAGCAGCCACCCCAAGATGGTGACCTTGGTCCCCGGGGCGAGTTCCCAAACTCCGGTGACGACTTCTCAGTGGAGTACCTGGTCGTGGGCAATCGCAACCCCAGCCATGCTGCCTGTCAGATGCTGTGCCGCTGGCTGGATGCCTGTCTCGCTGGCAGCCGCAGCTCACACCCCTGCGGCATCATGCAAACTCCCTGTGCTTGCCTGGGTGGAGATGCTGGAGACCCTGCTTCCAGCCCCTTGGTCCCCCGTGGGGATGTCTGCTTGAGGGATGGTGTAGCTGGTGGCCCTGAGAACTGCCTCACCAGCCTGACCCAGGACCGGGGCGGGCACGGCTCAGCAGGTGAGTGGTGGAAAGAAGACCCTGTACAGTGCTACAGCAGTGGGGGGGGGGTGAGGGCATGAGGCAAAGGGCGGTGACCTTGTCAGAGTCTATTCAACATCATCTTTGTCATCTGGGTTGAGAGACCATGCATAGAGTTCAAGTGCACTGATAGCTCTGTTCCCAGGGTAGGAAGCCTAACTAGCCCACATAGGGTGGCATGTGAATGAAGGAAGGAAGAAAGGAGCAGTAGCCAGTTTCCTCAAGCCACTTCCTCAGTGACATTTCCAACCATCCCAAGGCTGCAGTAGATGGTTTCTACGGACTGAAACGGAGGTCCTTGCTGCCCCAGGGTAGAGCGTGGGAACATGTATAGACTGAGTATTCATAGGGCTGTTGCCAGGAAGTAAGGTTTGGGGATTCAGTGTAGCATGTCTACAGCAGTTGCCACTGAGGTGTGGTAATGAGAGCAGGGACAAATTGCCATCCTGGTCTTAGGGACACAGGAAGGAGGACGACACACCACCCAACAGTATATAGCCATCTCAGGCAGAACCCAAGTGTCAAGGACACACAGAAGCCCAGTGTCAAAGGAGCCACTGTCTTAAGTCAAGGCTAGAGAGGTCCCAGGGCCTGGAAATTGAGGACAGTGACCCTTGGGGAAGGATGTCAGGGCCCAGGCTTGTTAGGGATAGGTGTGGTTGACAACTAGTCATGGAGCTATCATATCTTTGTGAGAGTCCTTGCCCATTGCTGGAGGTGGGGTGGTCCCTGCCTGCTAAGACCTGGGAGAAAGAGGTGGGGCATCCAAGATTTGATCTGGAGACCTGAGCTAAGTCAACATCAAGAGGACAATGGGATATGAGAAGTGAGGGGCGTTGCCCACCTGGTGTGCAGGGCCAAGGCAAGGTTTTGCCAAGGCCGACACCAGGAGAGCCGTAGGGGGATAGTGATACCTATGGAGCTTGCCGCAGCCTTAGTATTTCTGAGACCACGAGGTCATGCAGGCTGCAAAGGAATTTCCAAACCCTGAGCACATTCTGGTCAGGATCCTGTGGCAGGTCTCGGGTCAGAACCTCTGTGAGTCTGAGGGTCCTCAGAGGACACTCAGCACACATCATTGTGGCGGGAAGGAGGGTGGAGGTCCAGCCTTCCTGCTCGGTAAGCTGGAGGTCACTACGACCTTGACAAGGGCAGGTTTCATTGTGTGGCAGGAATGGGAGTGGGCTCAAGGGGAACCCTGGAAGAATGAAGTGCTCACTGGAGGATTGGAGGAATTGGGTGGGAGGGCAGGGCCAGCTGTCACAAGCAGATCTGGCCATGTGCCCTACTCTACCACTCCCCATCATTTAACTGCCCTGAGCCTTGGTTCCTTCATCTGCAAAATGCTTCTCGGGGTTGCACCATCCACCTTAGTTTTATCTGTCTTTGCCTGGGGCCATAGTCATACCCCTTGAGCAAGAGCCTGTCCTGTGTGGCATATTGGGGCAGATACTATGCCAGGGAACTTCGGAATCTTGCTCCAAGCACCTTGGCACAGCTGCCAACAGCCAAGACCTCCAGAGCTGGTGTGATAGATGCTTAGGGTACCAAATGTAGGTTCTTGTGTGCTGGGAGAAGTGTTGAGCTGCATGTATTTACTGAGGGCCTGCTATGTGAGGGCCTTGCTGCAGAAGCTGTGGAGTGGGGTTATGTGACCTTGAGGACAGAAGGAGATTGGGAGGGCTCAGTGCAAAGGAGTGATGTACCTATACTCCCCACAGGATCCAGAATAGGGAGGTGGCTGACATTGGCCTGGCCAGGGTGCGGTGGGAAGGGGGAGGGAAGAGGAGAGCCTTTGGTGCAGCTGATGGACTGTGGATGAAAGGGTGTGGGTACAGAGGCAGGAAGAGCAAGCCTGGCCTCCAAGATCCTATCAGGAATGAGGACATCCATGTGGGACAGAGGAGGCAGGACTGCAAGATGGAGTTGAGGACAATTCTGAGGTCAGAGTAGGATTTGAGATGTTTGTGACGTATGCCATGGGGTATGTGAGCACAGCTGTGTTAATGAGGACAGGCCCAGGCTGGAGCAGTGGCCTTGCAACCCCACTTTGGAGCTTTGTGCCTGATGTTGGCCCACCTGTGTTCCTAGGCTAGCACCTCAGTTCTCCTCATCGGAGGCCGGGGAATACCTTCTGTCTCTGTGAGGAGAAGTGTTAGAAGCAGCCAAAGATGAAGAGTCAGTGTCCTTGTTTATTACTAGGCAAACTCCTGGGGCTTGGGAGCAGAGGCGGACAGGGGCAGAGATGTAGGGTACATGGGATTGAGCAGTTTGGGGTATGTGCATGGATTCCACCAGTGTTGGCAAATGGTACTCAGAGGCAAGCAAGAGGTGTATTGTGTACATACATGTATTATACACATGTGTACACATGCAAGTGTGTGTACACATGTGCATATTTATGCATGTGTACATGGTGGCTGTACCCATTTGTGTATACATATGTAAAATGTGTTGTGCACATGTGTGTTCATGTACTCACATGTAGACATGCATGACACATGGAAAGCTAATGGCTATACTGATAATTGTGTTTGCAATTTTTTTCACATATGTGTGTGCTCTCATGTATGTATGTGTCATCATTGTGTGAGCCTACATATGTCCCTGTTTATTGCTAGGCAGACTTCTATGTACAAAGAATGCATGTACAAATGTAGCACATTGTGTTCATGCTTGAACACATGTAAAAATCTCATGTGTACATGTGTGAATATATGAGTGTTCATGCAACACATTGTGACTGTGTGTGTGTCTGTGGGTGTATGTATGTGTACACAGTATATGTGTATCATGCACTGAGCATTTATGCTCTTCATATATGTGTAGTGAGTGTGTGCATAGACTGCTGGTCTGTTGGAAGATGGTTTGGAGAGCACAAAGACCAGGCTCCAGCACATGAGGCAGGGAGCATTGGGTAGGGTAGACCATGGCCACTCAGATCAAATGCCCTGTGCTTTGTCATTTCCTGGCTGTGGGAGGGGAAGAACCCAGTAGTGACAGCTGTGGCTGGTCACTGAATGCTGACTGTTGAAGTGTCACATATGGATGAGTTCCTCTCCACATGGCCATGAGTCAGGTCCCAGCAGAGGTTGTTCCTGCTGTGCTCACACAGGGCTGCACCTCCCCTGGATGGATGCCCTCCATAGGCCCTCCTAAATAAGGCTCTTCCCTGGAGCCCTGCTTATGTGCCCAGTGAGGCACTTTTATCCCTTTTTACCTTCCCTGACAGGCATCATATAACTCCCCCAGTGGGCCTCGCTGTCGGTCTGAGCTAAGATGTGAGCACCGCAGATGATGGGCATATGCCCCATCCATTGATACTTCCCTAATGTGGAAGACAGATCCAGGCCCAAAGTAAGCACTCAGCAAATCAAGGTAGGTCAGGTCACATAGCTTGTAAGGGATGGAGTAACAGCAGACTAGTGGGTGGCATCATGTGCACTGAGCTCTACTTTGGGTGGTGGCAGTGGCTAAGGCCTCAAGTTGGACAACCTTTAGCAGAGGAAGCTGTGCCAGATGTGCAGTGGGTGCCCTGCTCTTACCTACCTCTGAGCATAGGGCCTTGACCTTCACTGTCTTTGGGGAGCAGGCAAGCGTGGGCACCCATCCGCTCCTAAGGCAAGGAATGTGCAGCTGAGTTGAGGAGCCAGCAGACAGCCCACTGAGTGTGTGGCCCATTTTCAGCCCCGCCCCCACCCTCCGCCAGGCCTGTCCAAATGCCACATGGCCATGTCACGGGTTGGATTCCATAAGCATTCCTCAGGCTAGGGCAACTGTCCCTGCTGCCTAGTCCCTCAAAGGCTGCCAGACCCTGGCACCAACTATTATCTTGCATCGTCTTCAGCTCCCTGTTTCTGTTTCCTCCTCCATCTCTCTCCTATCTTTGCCTCTGGTGAGATGGACCATTTCTTTCAAGGGTTGCTTTAAATATTCATGTTTTAATTAAAGAATATTATTACAGAAGTGACATGTTAGATAATGAAAAAAAAGCAGCATTCTGGGTGTGGGGGCCTGTGAACTCCTGTGAGTATGTGTCCCTGTGAGTGTGTCTCTGTGTGTCCCTGTATGTCTTCGCCTGTGAACCCCTGTGAGTGTAGCTCATGACCCCTGGTATGTCCTTGTGAGTGTGTTCTGTGAGTGAGCCCCTGTGGGTGTGTCTCTGTGAATCCCTGTGTGTGTGCTCTTCTGTTAACATGTGGTAATGTTCCTGTGAGTGTGCCCTATGGGTTCTTGTGCAGGTGTCCCCATGAATGTGTCCCTGTGAATATGAGTCCCTGTGAGTATGTCTCTGTGTGTCCCCATGAACCTCTGTGAGGGTATTCTCATGAGTCCCTGTAAATATGTTCCCTGTGTGTCCCCGTGTGTCTTCATGAGTCTTTGGATGTCCCTGTGTGCATGTATCCACGTGTTCCCACATGTTTCTGTGAGTGTGTCCCTGTGTTTCCCTGTATACTTCAGTGTATGAGGGTGTCCCTGTGAGTGCATCTCTGTGTCCCTGTGTGTGTATGCTTTGTGCATTCCAGCATACATATGCATCCCTGTATAAATGTAGTGTTAAATGTGTCTCTGTGCACATGCCTGAGGTAGAATGCTAAGTGTACACATGCAACACTTGTCTGGGGACTCATGACTTGCCACAGACTAAAGCCGGTCTCCTCATTGTGTGTGCAATCCTGGTCTTACTTGGCCATTGATCCTCTACTTTATGTGAGGCTCAGTCCCCCAAGATGCCCAAGAGGATTGGAAGCAGCATGTAGAAGTAGAGGCTGGGCTTAGGGAGAGCCCCTGGTTATGGTTTGAGCTGCAGTGGAGTATGGAGGTGATAGAGAAACACCAGGGTCCAATATGGAGATTCTACCATGTCTCTCTCTGTGTGTCTGTGTATGTGTGTACATTTCAGAAAAAAAAAACTAGACAACTGGCTTCAGTGCACATCACAGACAATACTTCTAAAAGTAAAGAACAAGACAAGGCCCTATGGAAATGCTGGGTGTAGGTACCATTATCCACAGGGAATTTCCCATGTGCCTTAGCTCTTACTGTGTCACCTGCCTCAGCTCAAGGACTGCAAGAAGTCCTTGTGGCCTGAACTTGGGGGTTATGCTTCCCAAGATGATGGGAGGGTCAGCAGCCTCTGTGACCCACTCTGATAACTGAGGACAGAGGCTGCTTGTCTAAGGTCTCCAGCATGGACTAAACATTTTGGGTCTTTATATAAGATACCTTCTCAGGACAGGGCATACCCAGCAGCAAGAATTTCCTGTAGGCATGGCTTGCTTGTTTTTCAAATGCCCTGGCTCCCATACACACCTCACCTCCTGAGAACTGGGGTTGGGACAGTACTCATTTGTAGAGTCTTCCTGAGGCCTAAAGGAGGCACAGGATCAGGAAGGCCCCTGCTGTACAGTGGACAGTGAACTTGGCAACCCAGTCTGTCCTGGAATCCGACTGCCCTTCTATGGCCCTGATGGTTTCTGATAGCCTGCAGATGGTGGCTGAGTCAGGACCTGCTGGGTAAAGGGCTATGAGGAGTTGTGCTGTCAGGCTTCTCAGCATCCCTTGCTTTGCCCTTAATGTGTTCCTTGTTCCTGGTTCAAGAGTTCTAGACCAGGCTGTTGGTAGTGCCTAAGCTCTTCATGATAATCTTGCTCCAGCTGGGTCCCTGGAGAGGCAGGGGTCTTGCTAGCCTCCTGGGCAGGGGCTGTCCCTGGACCTGACAGAAGAGCTGGAGAGCTGAGTAACAATGTGGGTGAGCCAATCTGCTGCTTAACCTGCTGGAGTAGGGATCCCTCTGCTGGGAGAAGATGGAAGTGCATGGTTCCCTTCCTCCGAAGGGGATCCCGGGAACTCGGGAGAGACCAGCTGGGGAAGGGGATTCCCTTCCTTCCCCCATTTCAGTCCACTTGGGGTGCGGGATCAGGGGAACCCACCACCCTCAAACCAGAGCATTAGGGTAGGAAAGGAACCAGAGCCCCCTCACTGTACACCCTCCCTCCTGGGTGGCCGGCCTGCCTGGCCAATAATTGGCTCTATTCATGCCTGTAATGAGATGGAAATGAGGCCGCCAGACAGAGGGAGCATTGAGCAGGGAAGAATGACAGCTTCTTTCTGGGCCTGGAGGGATAGCCCACCCCTGAGCCCTGCCTGCTTCTTCGCTGCCCCCTTGTGTCCACCCAGCCCTGCCACACCTCTGTGTCCCCTGGTGCCCTTCAATTTGTCCCCAGGACTTCTTCCTTCATGATGCTCCCTCTGGCATGGATGCTTTTCAGTCTGGGCAAACATTTATCGTGTCAGCTGTGTGTGAGGACACACATTAAAAATGAAAATGATAATAAAAACAGCAGTTACCATTTTCTCAACATTCATTAGTTTAAGGAGTGTGGCCAGCAGCATTGGGGAATCAGTCTGTGGCTGAGATCAGGGTCTGTTTTTTTTTTTTTTTTTTTTTTTTTTTATGTAGAATCAGTGATACTATGCCTAGGACCCTAGGACTGGGATAAGAACCAAGGATAAATGTTACTGAGGGCAGACATTGGCCTGTGGCCACGATGGGGAAACTACATGTCTAGGATCGGGGGTTAGTATGTAACCAGAGTCAGGACTCAATGTATGAATAGGGTTAGGAATCCACATGTGGCCTGGATCAGGGTTCATTGGGACCAGAGTCAGGCCTGGGCCAGAGGAGGGCATCCATCCTCAAAAACGCAGTCCCCTCTCCCCCAGCTTCTGGTATGCCCCACCTCTCCCCTCCCCTCCCCCTCCCACATCTTCACCACCTGGGTCACCAAGGTAACCAGCCCCGAAATAGTGGGTGTTTTGGCAGCTGAGGCCTAACCTGGGTCTATCCTGAAAGGCTGTGTGCTGCAGCAGTTGCCATGGGAACTGAGTGGCATCCTCCGATTAGCCCAGCTTGGACACCCTCTCTCCCACCCACTGCCAGTTTTCACATCACTCAGGCTTCCTTGTGGGGGCTGGGCTGGGGCAGTGAGGAGGGCACAGGAAGGACCCAGAACCCTGACCCCACTCTGGGCCTACCTCTAAGACTCCTGGCTCCTTTGTCTGGAATCATGAGACGGGAATGGTTGAGGCAGGCGAGACTCCTGGGGCCAGCAGGCGGGAGAGAGATCTGGAATCAGATTTGGTTCAAGACCCTAATCTGACCCGCTTGAGAGCTGCTCCTGCTTGTGCAGAGTTAAAGCATGTGACCACAGCTTCAGAGCGGCCACCCGGGCCAGTTCTGTGGACAGCTTCTGTCCTGTCCTACCTACTATGCATGTGAGGGTGGGACTGTGCTAGAGACTCTCTGCCCTCTGCTCTCAACTTTGTCCTGTTGCCGGTGTCACTGATTACCTTTTCTTGTACCTTTGCCCCCACCATTGGGACTCTCCTGGTGAAAGCAAAAATGGTATTGAGACAGAATCCTCCGTGCTTATAACTGTCACTCAGATCTTGAAATCCTGACTCTCTAGTTCGACAACTCTGCAGGGATTTCTGGGCTTCTACAACAGGCATAGGAGCATGGAGAGTAGCCCTTCCCATCCTACCCATCTTAAAGGGTGAGCAGTCACTTGAGAGCTACTTACTCCCTGGAAACACGGCGCCCCCTGCTGGTCAAGTCAAGCACAGGCACGAGGAGATGGGCAGACCCTGGAAGTTGACTCTTCTTGAGATGATAAGGCCAAGGAGATGGTCCTTGGGGTCATCAGGTGGGACTGCTCACACTCTGGGATCTACCACCTCCGAGTTCGCACCTGAGAGATGGGACCTCTTCCCATCTGTAACGAGTAACCTGCAGCCGGTCTTGTCCCACGGCCCGCACCTGCCCCAAATAATACACAAAGACTCTGTGTTTGATATTATGCTGTTGGCCAGGTACTAGTTTCTTATCGGCTAGCTCTGTCTTAATTATTAACCCACTTCTATGTATTTCCACGTGGTCTTACCAGGGAGAGGCGGCTGGCAGTTCTGCCTTCTCCATACTCTCCATCTTCACTCCTACTTCCTACTTCCTCTTTCCTCCTCGAGACAGTTTCTCTGTATTGTTTTGGAGCCTGTCCTGGAACCAGCTCTGTAGACCAGGCTGGTCTTGAACTCACAGAGATCCCTTTGCCTCTGCCTCTAAAGGTATGCACCACCCACCACACCACTCAGGCCAGGTGTAGCTTATTTATCCTGGCTTTGTTTACTAGGTGGGCAGATCTGTACTCTAAGTAAGGTTTCTGGGCTACCAGTTATGCAAGTGACTACTCCCTAGCCCAGGGTCTGGAGTGAAAATGTGGAGGCTTTGGCAGTAGTGACCTCACATGGACAAGAATGTGAGGAAATAGTCTCAGGGGTTTGAGGGCCATGGGGAATCTGGATCTATGTATTTCTGAATGGCCCACACTGGTAACCAGGCCTCACTATGAAGTAACATGGGGTTGAGCAGGAGTTGACTGTTTACACAGCAAGGCAGCCTGGGACCGCACGCAGTGTGTGTACTTGTCCCAGACCTACCTAGGACTCACTGGCTTAGGGCTGACACAAGCTCTCTAGAAGGAGCTCGAATCTAGGGGCAAACTTCCCCCATGGCCTTGCTCTGCCTCACTGTCTTCCTCAGCCAGATCGGTCCCCAGCTTACCCTTTCAAAGCCCACAGTTACCCCTTCTGGCCTCCACTGGACTCCCAAAGATGGCAGGACCCTGAACCTCACTCTTGTTCCCCTAGGTGGCTGGAAACTGTGGTCCTTGTGGGGTGAATGTACGCGGGACTGCGGGGGAGGTCTGCAAACTCGAACCCGCACCTGCTTGCCCAATCCTGGCGTGGAGGGCGGAGGATGTGAGGGAGTTCTGGAAGAAGGACGCCTATGCAACCGCAAGGCCTGTGGCCGTGAGTGGGTGGGGCTAAGGTGGTGGGCGGGGCCAAGTAGAGAAGGAGTCAGGGCCTGGAATGGGCAGGGTAGGGATGCTCTTGGCTAGGGTTTCAATGGGATTAGAAGGTAGGCGGGGCTTTGAAGAGTTGAACGTGGTTGGGGACTGGAATGCTTAGAGGTGGAGACTTGAAAGCCTGGTCTGGTACAGACCCAGGAGGAAGCAGGGTACCTGGATTTAGGTGGAACTAAATAAGGCTTCCTTATCAGGTGTGGGTTGGGAATCTTGAAGCTGCCTCTCAAGCAAGCTGCAGCCAAGCCAGTCAGCTCCAGCAGAATAAGCCTCCGGGATGTATTTCTCTAATAAGGTTTTCTAATGACCTCATGCATTTTTTAGCTGCTTCCATAAAGTTAAATCAAGTTCTAATGAGACTGTCATTCTTCAGGTTTTGTTTTGTTTTGTTGGATGCACTTTCCTGAGGAGACAGTTCCTCTCAGGAGCCTGGAGAGGTCCCTGATATTTCACAGGGAGGAAGGGAAGAGATGTTGGGTAGGAGGAGGCAGCAAGCACTCTAAGGTGTTATCCTGTAGGTCGTTACCTGCCTGCAGTCCAGGAGGCTGAGGGGGGTGGGGAATCCTCATAGAGGGGCCCATAGTGACCATAAGGGAGTAGGTACTGTGGAAAGTGCTCTGGATGGAGTCTCCCGCTTGTCCATTGGGGCTAGACTGCTCTGGTGACAGGAGATGGCCAGCTGTGGCCAAGGACAGAGGGAATCACACAGGGATGCTGATCTGAGCCCATCCTGCAGCCACTGGGCGCACCAGCTCACGGAGCCAGTCCCTGCGGTCCACTGATGCCCGACGGCGTGAGGAGCTGGGGGATGAACTGCAGCAGTTTGGGTTCCCATCCCCCCAGACTGGTGAGCTGGCAAGATGGGTAGGGCTGGCCTACATATAGCCCTAGGCAGGGAGGGGAGAGGGCTGGCTTCTGGGGCCAGGTTAGTAATGGCTACTAGTTGCCAACAGTGATTCTAATAACGGACTCATCTCATCTAGTCGGTGCCAGACTCCTTTTTCCAGGCAGACTGGTTTAGGGGAGAATAGAAGCATGTCCCAGCCATCCAGCCTCAGACCTTGCTTCCAGCCATTGAGAAAGTAGGCTGTCTTGAGACCTACAGAGCCCCAGTCCCAAGCCTGTTGCCCCACAGCAAGGTCCTGCTTCCCCACTGGGCCTCCCAATCTGGTACCACCCTATGGGAAGGGGCATGGCAGACCCATGATGCTGCAGGGCTGGACCTACAGGTGACCCAGCAGCCGAGGAGTGGTCCCCATGGAGCGTGTGCTCCAGCACCTGCGGCGAGGGCTGGCAGACCCGCACCCGCTTCTGCGTGTCATCCTCATACAGTACTCAGTGCAGTGGGCCTCTGAGGGAGCAGCGGCTCTGCAACAACTCTGCCGTGTGTCCAGGTGGGTGGAGCAGAGCACAGGGCGGGGCTTGGGTGGTGGGTGGGGCCTCTGGACTGGGCACATCCTTGACTTCCTGTCTCCCCACAGTGCACGGGGCCTGGGATGAGTGGTCACCCTGGAGCCTCTGCTCCAGTACCTGTGGCCGTGGCTTCCGTGACCGCACACGCACCTGCAGGCCCCCACAGTTTGGAGGCAACCCCTGCGAGGGTCCAGAGAAGCAAACGAAGTTCTGCAACATTGCCTTGTGCCCTGGTAGGTGAGAGGGAATGAGTGGCTAGGGGTCGGGGATGGGGCCAGCAGGTCAGTGGCCAGACCAGGGAACCAGCTTGATCTACCTCAGTCAGGTTCACCTCAAAGTGCTCAGTGGTTAGAACATCAGACCACGGTAGGTTGAGGTGTGACCCTGTGGTATTACTTCCTGGATCTCAGCTGGGCTGCTACATGGTGTCCCCGGGGATGTTGTTGTGTGTCCCAGGTCAGCCTTGGGGTACTGGGTATTCACACCAGCTTCCTGTTTCCTTCTTCCCCCGGGCCGGGCAGTGGATGGAAACTGGAATGAATGGTCCAGCTGGAGCACCTGCTCTGCCAGTTGCTCCCAAGGCCGCCAACAACGGACTCGAGAGTGCAATGGCCCTTCCTATGGAGGCGCTGAGTGCCAAGGCCACTGGGTGGAAACTCGAGACTGCTTCCTGCAGCAGTGCCCAGGTCAAGATGCCCTCTTGGGGCTCAGGGAAAGGGAGGGGCCCACAGGGGAAGTATAGCTCTAGGGGTTGGTATAGGGTGGAAGTGGTGGCATTAAATGCAGGTTAGGGTGTTGGCATGAAAGTATGGGGTGGTGGAGGTGAGGTAGGGTAGTGTGGTGGGGTCAGGGTGTAGGTTAGGGTGTCGGAGTCAAAGTGCAGGATGGAAATGGTAGGGTTGAGTGCAGGTTAGAGTGGTGGGGTTGGCTGAAGGGTTAATCAGGTACAGGATGGGGTACTGGAGTCAAAATCAGGTGGCAGACTTCAGCTGCACATGGCATCCGGCTCCTTTTTGAGTAAAGCTGATTCCTGCCCTCTCCTCCACCAATCTCAATTTTCTGTTTCCTCGTGGCCCTGCCCCAATACTCATGAGTCTTTTGTCTTTGTCTTGTCTGAATACCGTTTCTTTATGTCCCCCTGGCCCCTGGCCCCACCTCCCCCTACTGATCCTGGGTCCCACCTCTGCCTCCTGCCACCCTTGCAGTGGATGGCAAGTGGCAGGCCTGGGCGTCGTGGGGCAGCTGCAGTGTCACATGTGGAGGTGGCAGCCAGCGACGGGAGCGTGTCTGCTCTGGGCCTTTCTTTGGGGGAGCAGCCTGCCAAGGCCCCCAGGATGAGTACCGACAGTGTGGTGCCCAACGATGTCCTGGTGAGACCCCCTCCCACTGCATCGTAGCTCAGAGGGGCCGGGAACAACTGAGTATCACAGCCCCTCATCCCAAACCCTCTCCGCATCACTGTCTGGCCCCTCGCAGAGCCCCATGAAATTTGTGATGAGGACAACTTTGGGGCCGTGGTCTGGAAGGAGACCCCAGCTGGAGAGGTGGCTGCTGTCCGGTGTCCCCGCAATGCCACAGGTAAAAGGTGGGGGGGGGGCGCTAAGAGGCCTACTCTGTCTTTATACTGCTGTCCTCACAGGCCTTGTCTGAGACCCAAAGCTCATGCAGCTCTTGTGTGTGCTCATGCCAGATGGCACCAGATAGGACATCATGGCAGCCATTATGTCCTGAGTTCACAGGGGTCAGGGCACATGCCATGCCCTCTGCTTGGGAGGTCCCTTTGAGCATAGACAGCTCTCTGAACCTGATGCCATCGCCCTAGTACAGGTGGGAAGCAGGCATAGGACAATCAACACACCTCACTGGGCTTGCAGGAAGGAAGTTGCCTCTGAACACCAGTAGCTATAATCCCATGTCATCCCTGGGAACTGATGGAGTACTTTCAGAGGGTATAAAAATCAGGGTGGACTCCATGGGGAAGGGGCACGCCCACCTGCAGGTATCGCTGCACTTAACTTTGTTTGAAAGAGTGTGAGTAGTTTCCGTACCTGGGAGGCCACAGGGAGGGAGATTTGTGAACCCAGTTCAAACCCTGACTCTGCCCTTACTTGCTGTACCACTTTAGGAAGTGACTTAGTTTCTTTGAGCTTCACTTTTCTATAAAACGGAGACTTCAGGTGATCCTTTGCATTGGGCGTCTGGGCAGTGGGTGAGGTGGCCCATAGGGGCAGGGGAGGTGGTAAGTGCTGAATATTGTGAGTCTGTCCCTATCCTTGGTTGCGCTGTCTTTCTGGCGTATTGCAAACAAATTAAGGCAACACCCTCCTTCTCTGGCGTTTTTCTACCTTCGTAGTAATACTGTGTTTCCCTCATTTTTGCTCCCATCGGAGCTCATAACCCAAGCTTCTGCGTCAGACCACCCTATGTATGGTTCTAGTGTGATGGCAGGGCTGTAACCATTCCATGTGGCTGTCACCATGTATTTATTTATGCTGTTGTCCCTGCTTGGAAATCTTCCTGTGAGTCTTTCTATCTGAGAGTTAGCTTGTTTTTCAAGCTGTTGATTTTTGATATCAAGTGACCCCAGGAGGCTGCACTAATGTCCAGGGGTCAGCAAGTCCCCTGAAGCCCTGTGAATGTCCCAGGGTATGGCAAGAGTTTAGAGGATAGCTGTCCCTAAGTCTCTAGATTGCACGGATTTCTAAGAGAGGCTCTGTCTGAACCCAGAAACCATGCTTAGCTGAGGATCCCACTTACACACAGCAAAGTTCGTGAAGGTCCTCAGGTCCCCAGGACCTAGAGTAGGGCTGAAGTGTGTGCCATACAGAAAAAAAGCCAGCATGGCCTGCTTCGGGGTCCCTATGGTCCCAAACAGAGAAGTCCTGCCTAAGAGTTGTGGGTGGGACCCCAGAGCTCCTTGGTGAGCAGGCACGTGAGCAATGGGGTTTCCCCAGGCCTCATCCTGCGCCGCTGTGAGCTGGACGAGGAAGGTATCGCCTACTGGGAGCCTCCCACCTACATTCGTTGTGTCTCCATCGACTACCGGAACATCCAAATGATGGTGAGGTTGACCCCAGGAAACTTCCCCGCTCTTTGAACGTGAGGTTGGGGCTATAGGGGCCTCCAGGCATCTGAAGTCCCTGGCCCCCACCTGGCTGTGACCTGCAGCAGTGACAGCATCCAGCCCTCTCCATATTCCCAGACCCGAGAGCACCTGGCCAAGGCTCAGCGTGGGCTGCCAGGGGAGGGGGTCTCGGAGGTCATCCAGACTCTGCTGGAGATCTCACAGGATGGCACCAGCTACAGCGGCGACCTGCTCTCCACTATCGATGTCCTAAGGAACATGACAGAGATCTTCCGCAGAGCCTACTACAGCCCAACACCTGGGGATGTACAGGTGGCTCCCAGGGGCACCCCCAGGGGAGGACACTTGGGGAAATGTCAGAGCAACCAACCCAGATCCCAGTCAGAGACTAAGTCCCAGTGTTCAGTGTTTGGGGATGTGGCTTCACCATAAACATGGCTACATGCTTAATCTTGACCTGGTCATAGAATGATCCTGATCCAGGTCATATACTGAGCCCCGATCCAGGTTTGTGTACTGAATTCTGATCCTGGTCACTGTGAGCTATGACCCTGATGACAGACTGAGCCTTGACCCAGGTCATGCTAGTCATAGATTAAGTAATCATCCTGTCATCACCCTGGATCCTGCTCACACATTGAGCCCTGTCCCTGCTCACACACTGAATCCTTGCCTTGATCTGCACTGACCCTGCTCACACACTGAGTCTTGATCTGATTCTGGCCACACTCTGCACTCTGATCCTACACAACCTGGATTCTGGTCACTGACTGAGTCCTGATGTTGGTCATCTATTGAGCCCTTGTCCTAGTCTAAACTGAGCCCTTATCCTAGTCACAGGCTGAACTATGATCTTCCTCACACACTGACGCCTTGTTCCCTTTCACTGACCCTTCTCATTTCCAGAATTTTGTCCAGATCATCAGCAACCTGCTGGCGGAGGAGAACCGGGACAAATGGGAGGAGGCACAGCTGGTATGTGTGGAGGTCTGGAGCCCCCGCCCCCCCCATGTTAGCTACAGGATCAGGATTGAAGCAGGAAGCTCTAGGCCTCCTACACCCCAGGCCAGCCATGGTGGAGCCTTGCTAGGTCTTCAGTATGAGTCTCAACACTGCTTCCTGTTGATTACATGGCCTTGAAAAAGCCACTGAACCTCGTAGGCTTCATTTCTCCACCCATGAACGTACAGTGGCCTTTCCTGGGGTGGGGGCAGTAAATGAGGAGAGAAGTAAACTATGTTAAGATCGCTGGGTATGTTGAGTCTTCCCCATCTGCTCTCTTCCTTCCACTGACCTCAAACCTGCTATCACACTAACCCCAGGGCAGTAGCCCTCATGGTGAATATTTGGAACACTGTCCCTTCCTACAGCTTAGGGACCCCTATGGTGTGCATAGCAGCTTCCCTGGGCCTCTGATCTTGTTCATAAAATACAAATGGACACTCAGAGCTCAGCAGCCTGCTACCCTGCTTTGCAAGAGAAGGACCCCTAGAGCCTAGAAAGACAGACAGCAGAGGAAGGAAGGAGGGCAAGGGAGGACACAGGCACTTCCCCAGCTTGAGCTCCTCCACCCTCCCCTACCCCAGATGGGGCCCAATGCCAAGGAGCTCTTTCGGCTTGTGGAGGACTTCGTGGATGTCATCGGCTTCCGCATGAAGGATTTGAGGGATGCTTACCAGGTGACCGACAATCTGGGTAAGCCCCCCCCATGGCCTGATCCTGTGCCTCTCATCTGTAAGGAACCAGTGACCCGAGCCTTCTGCAGCCACTAGCTGACATTACAAATTAGCTGGGGGCTTAGGTCGAGTCCAGAGGACTGATATCAGCAGTCCTTTGGGATCTGAGATCGGGGCAGGGACCTGGAGATCTTGTGCCCAGACCCATGCAGGAGCTCGGCCAAGACCGGGCTTGAGGCCCGCTTTGTCCTGCCACGCCAGAGACATCCCTGCATCTGCTGTTCCTCTGCCCTCCAGTTCTACAAAGCCTAGGCGCAGTGGAGCAGGGGACTGACATTTACAGTTTCCTCCTTCCTGTGCTGGCAGAGTGGAGATGTAGACTGCTCAGTGGACCTGAGCATAACTGGTAGCTGTCCTCACGAATACACACCAGTGCTTGAGATGACCCCCTATCTAGGCTCCAGCTCTACATCTCCCTGAGGATGTGACTCCAGCCTCCCACTCTGAGCCTTCCCTTGCACCTGGCTTTATTCTTTCACCAGCTCTGTCCCAGACTCATTCACTACTGCCCACTCTTCCAGCATGAGGCGGCTGTGTTCTGGCCTTGGAGTCCCCACTCCACCCTAGACTGACACCTGTCTCTGCTTTAATCCCCTCCCCTACCTCCACCATGTCAGACTGGCCCCTCATACTTCAGGATAACTTTGCTCTTCTTCCTCACTGGGCCTACCTGACCCTCCAGCCTAGTCCAAGTCTACATTGGCCTTTAGTGCCATGCCTTTCCCCAAGCCTGTGATCTCGTCTTTTCAAGGCCTGAAAGCCAATTGGACCAGAAGCCCCCAGTGCCCATCAGAACCTGTCATCCCGGTCTCTAAAAGCCCAGGTCTGGGTCGTTGATTCTGTGTCCCCTCAGAGGACCTGAGTCATGGGCTTCTGCCTCTGTACCTCCCCCCCCCACACCTTCCACTCACAAAACCATCTTTCAGAGGGTTGCTGTCACACTCTGATCTCGCCCCTTGCTCTCGGTCACTTGTAGGCTCTTTCCTCCCTTCCCGGTCCTCTCCCTGGGATATGTCCCTCTCTTTCCTGGCCTCTGCAGGGGCCTTCCTAGCTACTCTGTATGGGAATATCCCCGTCCTTTGTTGCCACTACTGACAGGCCATGTCCCCATTCCATGGGTACACCAGAGGGTTCTGTTGCCCACCTGTCCTCTCAGCACCTGTAATGTCCCTGCGTGAAGTTGGGACACAGAACGAACATGTGATCAACGAGGTGGGGTGCTCATTACCCGGAAGCTCTCAGCACGAGGGCTGGCTGGGTACTGGCATTCAGAGGGAGGCTTGTCTCTACCCCCATGGCCCTGGTAAGGCAGATACTTATGGAACACTGTAAGGCAGAACACTGTGGGAAAACCCTCATGCCACCAAGGCCTCAGGTCCCAGGAGGGCAGGGCCAGATGAGAGGCTGCTGAGCCTGGGCAGGCAGAGTAGGTGGGACAGAGCAAAGGTAGAAAGCACAGGAACCATGCTGGGGAGTATGGCCTAGAGCTCAGCATCTCCCTCTCTCCCACATCTTAACAAGTAGACCCAGCCTGTGTCACTGGTGGAGGGTGGAGTGTGTGTCTAGAGTGGGTCATAGGGCATTGATGGAACTAGAAAAGCTACCTCACCCCCTCATTGTCTCCCAGCCCTGTCCCCCTGGGCCTCGGATCACTGGGCCAGTGTGTATGTGCTGGAGGAAGATGGAGTGGCAGGCAGGAAAGTCATCTAGGGTGTTCCCTGAGGTAGAGAAGGGACCATCCTGCTGAGGTTGATGCTAGACTGGAGCCTGGTCTTGAGTGAGCTGGGAGGGTGCTAGGGACTGGTTCACTGCCTGGCAGAGGCTTGCCAGGCTGGGTTACAGGAGAATAGCATTCTACATGACTACACTACTTGGATTTCTACCTCCACACCTGCTGCCCCTCCCTCACTGAGACCTCCTACCCAAGTATAGAAACCTTATACCTGAAGCTCAGCCATCCCCCCTCTCTTTATAGGGGGAGAGGAAGCTGGAGAGTAGGTCTCAGAGTAGACCCATGACCCCAGTGAGGTAGGGGGATGGTGGAAACCAAGATGTAGATCCTATTGTCCTATTGTCTACAGATTTGATGCTCACACCTGACAGCAATCTAGCCATGCAGACCCCACCCACCCCTAGCCTCAGAAAACTTGTGCCATAATCTTGCACCAAGGCCTGCAGCCTGGGTTCCAGCTGACACTCCAGATGGGTAATGTCCGGTTTGTGTTGCCCCTTCCCTGCTTTAGTGCTCAGCATCCACAAGCTTCCAGCCAGTGGGGCCACTGACATCAGCTTCCCTATGAAGGGCTGGCGTGCCACAGGAGACTGGGCCAAGGTGCCAGAGGACAGGGTCACCGTGTCCAAAAGTGTGTTTTCCACAGGGCTGGCAGGTGAGGCTTTGGGAGTGGGATGGGCCTGCTGAGAACCTGGAGTCTGAGGATTGTCATCCTGGGGTATTTCTTGTGAGGTTTTGTGCATTGTCTCCAGTGACAGGGAACGTCCCTGGTACACCTTGTTATTCCTGAAGCCATCTCCTTGCAGGTGTCTCTTCCTTTCCTCCATGGGAGAGTGCCTGGGGACTACCCTAAGCCAGAAGGCTAAGCAGGGTGGAAGGGGCTGGGTGGCTCACACAGCAACAAGGACATGGAGTCTCAGGGAGGGAAATGTATTTTGCTTTGCCCCTGTCTCTCTTGTGGGATCACTTGAGATGAACTAGTTCTCTCTTCCCATGTAGATCCAGACTGGCGCCCCAGACCCCAGCCTGCACTTCAGCCTTCTCTTGTTAGGGCCTTGGATGTGACCTAGTAGAGGGGACAGTGGAGGCCACAGGAGTGAGATCCAGGCTAGTGGGTAGTAGTAGTGTTGGGGTAACGTATGCTCCCTTCCAGAGGCTGACGACTCATCTGTGTTCGTGGTTGGTACTGTGCTCTACCGAAACTTGGGTAGCTTCCTGGCCCTGCAAAGGTGGGTGTAATGGAAAGGGGATAGCCTGGGCCCCTGTGGGAGGTCAGGAAGAAGCTGGGAGGCTGGACATGGTGGTGACTGGTGGTATGGGACAAGGCACCACACTGGGGCTGGGGCTGGGCTACAAGGCCAGCTCAGTACCATTTCACACCTCTGATAGCCTTTTATGCTTTGATGTCCCCAGGAACACAACTGTCCTTAACTCTAAGGTCATCTCTGTGACCGTGAAGCCCCCGCCTCGGTCCCTGCTCACACCGTTGGAGATCGAGTTTGCCCACATGTACAATGTGAGTGCTGCCCACACGCATGGGTGCATGGGTGCTTTCATCTGTTCTGAGTACCGTGCGATCTTCTCAGGCAGTATCTTTTAGGGTCATAATTGGAGTGGCTCTAATCTAAATTCTATGTGGGGAATCTGAGCTTAGGGCCACACGGTGTGTTCATGCTGACACTGAAATTCAGCCCAATTCTGAACTGCCCCGACTTTATCCCCAGGCTCTATCCCTCCTCTCCAGACCCTGATCCCTGGAGGGGATCCACTTGCTATTCCCTGTGCCCATGGCCCAGAGTCCTGGAGAGCTGTTAACAAGCCATCCGCCCCAAACCAGGTCTCCAGACCCCTAGGAGTTGCCCCCTCCCCGTCCACATTGCTGGGAACATGTGAGAGCCACCTTCCTCCAGAGTCAGGGCTGATCACCAGGCCATGTCATGCAGGACCTCTGGGACGACAATACCAAGAGCATCCTTTCAAAACTCCCTAGGACTCCAGGCCACTACTGGTGTGTGACCCTAGCAGGTCCCCAGCTCCAGAAATACTTGGGTGTTTCGATGGGCACGAGGAAACTGGAAGGGGGATTGCTGTCAGTCCTCAGATGGCTTTTCAGAGACTAGGGCTGAAGCTCCTACAGCTCACTGTCTCTGCTTCTGGGTAGGTTGAGTAAGAACCTCAAGGAGCAAGGCAACCGCATCACACAGCCAGGACATGGCAGTGACAGGCCCCAGTCCTCAGGCCAGGGATGTAGGAAGCCTCAGGAAGAACCCAAACCTGTCCCTTTCTCCTGTGTAGCCTTAGGAGAGTTCCTTCTCTATGCCTTGGCTTCCTTCCCTTCCCGAGCAAAAAACAAGCAATAGGCATGAATGCTCAAGTTGTATAGCTACTGTTAATGTAGACAACCCCCACTGTGGCTGCTCCCCTCACTCCTGTGCTGAGTCCAGAAGCCCTCTCTGGGATGGTGCCCTGCAATGTTCTCACAGTCCTGCTTCCAGGACCAAGGACAGCAACACGGAGCTTCCTCTTAGGAGCAGCTAATACCCTTCCCCTTCAGACATGGCTTTGTCCTTTAGCCCAGCCCTGCCATAGGGTCAGGAATGGCCTAAAGCCATGTGTTGGGCATTAGTGGCAGGAGGAGGGGTCAAGGCAGGCCTAACTAACCTAGAACCAGTCCTCTCTGCTTGAACTTCAGGTTTTACCTCACATGATGCAGTCTCTTGGGGGATGAATGACATCAATAGCCCCCATGGGTGGATTCAGTGGCCCTGATGGGGCTAGAAGGGAAAATAGCCCTGACTCCTTCTTCTCTCTTAGGGCACCACCAACCAGACTTGCATCCTGTGGGATGAGACAGATGGGTAAGTTCTTTGGGGCTTGGTAGCCCCAGGGCCCTGGGGTAGTGGGAGAAGCTTGCAGTGTGGTTGGGTAGTGGAGGGTTGGTCTTAGGTAATGGAGCCACTGTTCCCTGGCTCCCTGTTCACTGGTACGCCTGCACGGCCCTCCCTTTCTTCCTGCCCAAGTCTGGCTTCAGAGCCATTGGCCTGTCCTCCTTACTCTTCTAGGGAAGTCCAAGGCACAGGAGAGGAGGGCCAGAGAGGTGTATCCTAGCTAGGTACTGAAGTGGGGTATTCAAGCCATCCTGTACTGATGTTGGGTTTGGGGTAGGTATCAAGCACCAAGAATTGGGAATGTGGCTGCGTGGACTAAGACAGCATCAGGGTTGAGGACCCCAAGACTCCAAATAACCAGTCGGGGCAAGGGCCCCAGGGGTCTCTAGCAGCATCATGTGACCCTGAACCCTGAATTCAGGGCTTGTCAAGCACATAATGGCATCGGCCTCCTCCAGGGCACACTGTCACAGAGTGGAGCCTCATGGCTGGAATAATGTCCCAGATGAAGTGACAGGGAAGGGGGGGTGCTAAAGGAGAAGGAAGTATGTGGCAGACTGGAATAGTGTTCGTGGAAGCCGTGAAGGACATTGCACTTGGGGTGAAGGCTTACAAACTGGAGGCCTAGTTGTGCCCTTGAGCCTTGCTGAGTGTTGAGATTGGTCTGGTTGGAAATCGGTACAGAGATCTTGTTCCCTTCCCCAAGCTAGGTGGCATGGGAACTCAAGTGGTCCTGGCAGTGTGTGTAGCAAGCCCTGGTGCTGTGAGCTGTGTGGTGATGGGCAGGGAAGATCTCCCGAGTGACTGGCCTGGGAGAGGAAGAAGGTTCCAAGAGAGATGCAGTCAGAGCACCAGCAGGAAGGCTTGAAGGCTTCAGGGAGGCATGGCCTGGAGGCTGGAGGGTGGCTGGATGATGGCCAGGCTGGCTTTTGTAACCTTCCCATGCCCTGGCCACTCCTCTGCTCTCCTCTGGGTGGCTCTTCATGCCACAACTAGTGGCCGTTACTTTTGCTATGACTTGTGAGTTCATTCCCACTAGCCTAAAGCGTGACAAGTGGCAGAGCACTGGGCGGCATCCACCAGTGCCTAACCGCCAAGTGTGCCTGACCTGCCTGGTGTGGCCTGTGCTTCCTGTGCTTGGCTGAGAACAGGCATAGGGACCAAGGAATGGCCTGGCCACTAGGGGGAGAGGAGAGCCTTCTGTGACTGTCATTTGATAAATGGTACTGTAATTGAGACCTATAACCAAACCATCCTAATCTAGGGTAGAACCCAGATCCCTAGCCAGAAACGAGCAGAGACCAGACACTGGTCATGCTCTGAGTCCTGACCCTAACTGGGACATGGAGACCTAATTCTATTCAAATGCTCCTCATAGTCAAAGTTAAGTTTGCTTGGACCCTGGTCACGCACTTAGCCCTAATTCTGCAGACAAACTAAGCCTTGATCCTGCTTATACACTGACCTTGATCTGGCTCACACACTGGATGCTGACCCTCATCATACACCGAATCCTTTCACTCACTGAGTCCTCACCCTGGGCACACTGAGCCCTGATCCTTGTCATATACTGAGCTCTAACCATGGTAACACAACGAACACTGACTCATTCGTGTAGAGAATAAGCCAGAGGCTTCCCCTACAGTGTAGGCTCTTTTCCTGCCTTTCCTCCAGGAACCCACATTCCTGCATGGACTCTGGTAGTGTCCACATTGGAGATCCTGTCTAGGCTCCTTAAACCATTTGTTCAGAGCCTCTGATGTGACCCTAGTCCTTCATGCAATGACTGTCACCCATGTCCCTGGATCTGGGTCTTGAAATCTGAGTTGGCAACAGGGTCCAAGAGTTCTGTCTTTTTACACCCCTATAGAAGCATGCCCAGTGGCTGGGGTAAGAAGTGGGGAGGTAGAGGGTGACCCTTGCTACAATATACTTCCCATGCTGCATCCCCACAGAGCCCTGGTTTTGTGTGTCTCCCCTGAGGGGACCAGTGACAGTCACATTTGTATTCCCAGAGTCTCCTGCCACCTGTTAGAATGAGGAATTATTTGTGAGTGGGAATGAGCAGCAGGAGGCAAGGCTAGATGGGTGAGTAGATGGGTAGGCAGTGCTAGGCAGAGTGAACAAGGTAAGTACGTGGCTCAGGAGTCGGGCGGAGTGGGGTGTGGGCTGTGAGGGTACAAGGTGAACAACTGAATGAGGGCTGAGATCCAGAGGACAAGCAGGTGCCTGAGGAAGGGGCCAATGCCATAGGAAGTGGGCAGAGAGAGCACAAGGGCTGGCTTCATCTGGCTACTCTGGCACAATGATGCGAGGGTCATAGCAACTGAATCTGTTTCTCCCAATGCAGAAAGGCCAGAGCTCCGACCTCAGGCGTTGTCAGGGCTGTCTCTCTCCACAACGTGTTCCTTTCCAAACTCTAGGTGCTTTCCTGGGTGGTCTGCCAAGTCCCACTAGGTCCATTTCCCTCAAAGAGCTTCCTGCCACACTGTCCTTTATCAGCCAGGTTCACAGCCAAAGAGCCTAACTAAAGGCTCAAAGGTTCCCAGTGAGCCCAGGACTACCTTCACAGACCTTCTCTGTGGACACACTGCCAAAAGAAAATCTTTTAAGAATCTGCCCTTCTTGTTTATTTGGTTGGTCGGTGCCTTTTTTGAGACAGGGTTTCTCTGTATAGACTTGGCTCATAGGAAACCTGATGCTCAGCCTACAGTTGCTTCCCTTAAAACATGGCTGAGCAGCGGTTGGGAGGGATTGAGTTAAGGCAGAACAGCGGGGCTTCCCCACCTTCCTTTGCCACCCCAGGGAGCGATTTGTTCTGCAGGTCCCCACCTTGCCCCCAGATTCCGCTGCAATGTCCCCATCCACTCTCAAGGCCGAACCAGCAGGCATGTGGTCTCATAATGCCCACTACAAGTGAACCTTGGCCTGTACCTGTACAGAGGCCTTTGTGGGACCACCTGGTTACATGGGCACGTTTCTATCATGTTGAGCCTTGATTTCCATGTCTGTGAAATGGGCTGTTGTCGTGGTTGACAATGTGCTGAATTTAAAGATGGCATCCCAGAGGACAATAGTAAGCCACATAGATGCGGTGTCACTACGTGCTGGCAGGAGGGTGTGGGAACCCAAGGCCACATACAAGTGTGCAGAGGCCCATCAGAGTGCAATCCGAGTTTCAGTGAGTGGTCCAGAGAGAGGGAGATACGGAGTAGGACAGAGAACAAGAAGGCAGATAAATATCTGTCCAGACCTGGGCTTCCCTTCCTATAATCCCCATCCCTCTTTTTAGACGTGGAGACTAGGCTCTCTGGCCTCAGAAATGACCTAGCAGAGGTAGGATTTGTGTGGGTCCTAGTCTCAGATTGCAAGGCACATGGAAAGGCAGACACGAGGCACGGACTTCCCAGTTAGCTGGGAGGCTTGAGTGATGTGGGAACGTGCTCCTGACCCTTATCTGGAAGAGTGGGATGATGGAGTGACCAGGTCTGCTGGATCATGTGAGCAGAGTGGTGCAAGGCAGTAGTGCAGGTTATTCGGCTGTCTGCTCTTACTGCCCTGGCCTGTTGGAGGCTCCCGAGAGAGGGTCCACCAGGATGTAAAGCTGAAGAAAACTCCCGAATTCTGGGGACAGTGTCCATCCGGAGATAGGCTGATGTTGCTGACGGGGCAGCCCCTATGAAGGAGGACACATTGGGCAAGGTGCTGCCGCCATGCTTTAGAGCTTCGACTAGTGCAGATGGTCTCGGCACCAGTGATACACACTGCCGGCTGGCTGCATTGGTAGCCTTGGTAATGATGTTGATGCTGATGTAGGTGATGCTGGCACTGGCTTGAGGATGTGGTGGTGAGGGAGGAAGATTGTGTAATGTCTATAATGATGGGGACTATGGGGACTGAGTAGTGCTGTTTAGAGTCAATGCACTGAGTAGGAACAGTGGGGAATGGGGTGGTGAGAGAGGTTCTGATGGCAGGGTGGTGGTGGTGAGTGTTGTCCGTGTTGTTGTGGATGGGAGTGATGGTGGTATGTAGGGGTGTGCTATCATAATGAGAGGTAATGGTGGCAGGAGTACTTCTGTTGGTGCTGCTGGGGTGATGGTGATGCGACGGTGATGATGGCAGTGGTGATGGTATTGATGATGTCAGAGACATAGTGGTAGTCATAGAAGTGGTGTTGGCATGTGGGGCTGGCCATGGGGGTGATGGTGGCCACAGAGGGGGTGTCAGCAACATGGTAGTGGCCATGGAAGTAGGTACTAGCGATGCAGCAGTGGCTGTGGATGTGGTGTCATGATGAGGCGAGGCGGTGGTTATGGAGGTGTGATGGCGTTGGTGATGACGTGGTGGGAATGGAGGTGGCATCAGGGATGTGTTGACCAGTGACGCAGTGGATGTTGTGGAGGTGGTGGTGATGACAACGTGGTTGTGGTGGCCACGGTGGTGATGACATCGTGGTTGTGGTGGCCATGGTGGTGGTGATGATGCAGAAGCTATGGAGGTGGCGGGGATGGTGGCAGTGGCCATGGAGGTGGCGGGGGCGGCATGACAGTGGTAATATGGTAGCCGTGGAGATGGTTTTGGTAATGGAAGCAGCGGTAGAGTATGCTGGGGTAGGGATGGTAGCTAGTGGTAAATACGGACTGCAGGTGTTATTGGCCTTGGGCTTGTTTAATGTCTTGGTGGTGGTTCTGGGGGTGACAGTGGTGGGCATAGGTACTGTGGGAGGAAGATGGCTGTGGAAAGATTTACAGGGCCCCTGCGTGCATCATCTCCCTTCCCCTATGGCACAGGTCATGAGTCAGGCCACAGTAACCACATGATAGGTATGACAGGGCAAGAGAATACCAGGAGTGCCCAGTGCTCAGCAAAGGTCTAGCTCAGCAGGCATCGAAAAGCTAGAGCATGAGGCTGTGGAGCCTGGGCAGCGGGCTCTTGACTGGTGGGGGAAAGGGAGTGACAGGCTAGGATGA